AGTTACCAGTTGATGTACCTGGTCAAACCAAGACTGAAGCTAACAAGCTGATTGTTACAGACAAAGAAACTGAGAATGTGGTGGAAAAAGCCCCAATTGCCTCAAGTGAAAGTTCTGATGAAGTTTCTGTTTCTCGGGCTATGCAAGGGGTTACAGCAGCTCCTCCAACTGAAGAGAAAGAGCTTGAATCTCCAGGATCTGCTCCCAACTCCTTGCAAATTCCTGAGAGTGCTGACAGTGTAACACCAGGCTCAGAGTCTTCAGATCTGATCTTTGCAGATAACCTGAAGAATGAGATGGCACCTGAAAAGAAACAGTCCCTTGATGAGCAAATCAAGGAACTAGAACAACATTGAGTTTTGAACCTGTATAAACAACATCCACCATCCACCTACGCCTTCCGGAGATTCAGCTTCTACTAAGTCATCTGAGGAGAATGCAGCCACTGTGTCCACTACAGCCACTCCCTCACTTATGGATCGGCTAACTCAGATGAAGCCTAACATGACATATGCATCCGCTGTGGTCGCCTTTCTCATTGTTGCTATTGTGCTTCTGCTTCTTATGTCTAGAATCCAACATCCAGTTATCGCTTCCATCAGACGACAGTTGAATCTTGAACCTATGAGTGATTACATAAATGACAAGGTGGGATCATTATTCCGGTCATGATGAGAACTGACTGTGGGGAAAAATAAAGACATAATTGCATAGTACACTTTTTTTTTTTTCAGCTCACTAAAATATAATTATTTTTTTTTATTTAATTTATTTTATTTTTACTTCTTACACCAATGCTGTTTTTTATTATAAGTGCATTAAAAAACTGTTCAAGCATTTTTTAGTAAGCATTTCTTTTCTTTTTTCCCGCTGTATTTTCAATTTTTCTTTGTCTTCTTTTTTCTTTGTCTTCTTTTTTCTTTGTCTTCTTTTTTCTTTGTCTTCTTTTTTCTTTGTCTTCTTTTTTCTTTGTCTTCTTTTTTCTTTTTTTTCTTTCTCCTTTTTCTTTTTTCTTCTTTTCTTTTTTATTTTTCTTCTTTTCTTTTTTCTTCTTTCTTTTTTCTTTTTTCTTTTTTCTTCTTTCCTTTTTTTTTTTCTTTTTTCTTCTTTCCTTTTTTCTTTTTCTTCTTTCCTTTTTTCTTTTTCTCTTTTCCTTTTTTTCTTTTGTCTTTCTCCTTTTGTCTTCTTCCTCCTTTTTCCTTCTATTTTCTTTTAAATAGAGAATCACTAATACAATGGAAAAGTAACACATTTTTTTGCTTTTTTTATTTTTAAAAAAAAATACAGACATAATTTACAGAATTATTTTTTTTTTTGTTCTTTTTTTTTCATTTGTTTTTAAACATTTTTGAATGGCCCCATTTTTATTAAAGAATAATACAACTTTGCCTTGAAATGAAACAGACTGTTTTCTCTGCTTGCTGTTTCTGGTTTGCTGACTGGCCTGCTTAGGTGTTTTTGTATTTTTTATATAAAAAATAGGATATATATTTTTTTTCAATCTATTTATGCAAATACTTATTGATAGACCTATCCATCTGCATTCACACCCAATTCATAAAAGATGTCTAACTTTATGATCCTTACAAGGGAAATAACTTTTACAGTCGTCTTGTTCACTTTGTGACGTACATATGTTAACTAGATGGACAAACTTTGTTTTAAATAGTATTGCCTTGTTGGCTATTGTATTGAAGAAAATGTTTACACAATTTTCTGTTTAATTACAAAAAATGATAAAGGAAAATTTCTTTGTAAGAGGTGCTGGTGAAGCGTCTATATTTAATTTTGTACTGTTTCTCTGAAAAATCATTAAAGAGAAAATAACAGAATTAAAGTATAAATTGAGAACATGTATTTAGTTTTGCACATTGTTGCAAATTCACAACATGACAGGCTTTGTAGATGTTGGGAACATTGATCTTGGGTAAATTATGCACTGGAAGTTGTGCAAAGGTGCTATGCTGTATGCAACTTTTTTTTGTGTTCTGTTCACATGTTTTAAGACCTTACATTGAAATTATTTGATTTTCATTTCTTTCAGAGTTTGCCATTACACTTATATTAATCATCTAAATATTTTTTTTTTAAAAAACAAAAAACAAAAAACTTTATGTAATGAATTCATAAAGTAGTAAGGAATAGCTATAATATACAAATAATTATATTCTGATAATTAAAAAATATATAATCATGAATATTTTTGCAGGTAAGTAGATAATGTTTTTATATACTCAGTATCATTATCATAAAATTTGTGCATTCTCCTTAACAACAGAAACAAATTAATTTTGATTTAGCATTTATTATTCTCCATTAAATATAGTTAAATTCTCTTTGACAGTTTACTATTTATGGGTTATAATTTCATGATAGTAGCGAGTAGATCAAAACATGATAGTTTATTAGAAATTAGCATATATTTACAGAAAGTTTTGTATGATGAGATTAATGAAATTGTGGTATACAACTAATTATTTTTCTAACAGCCTTTTTATGTTCTTTTTTTTTTTTAATATATTTATAATTACTCCTCCTTTTCATGATAAAACTAATTTTTCATTAACAACTTTGAAATATATTTTTCTTATCAGTTTTCTTAAATGGGTCAAGTAATGAAATAGGTCATTTCAAGAGAAAGATATGTCTGATTAGATATCGTCTTTATTTGTTAAAGCATTTGTAAATGCAGATTTTTTTTATTATTCTGCACAATTTTTAAATCTCAGTATTTTAGAATTTTCTCAAAGTTCTAATGAAGAGTTTTAATAAAATCTCACTGTAGGTTTCTTTCACTTTATTTGGTTTTTTTTATATAGAGAAAATATATTTTCTCTGGTTTTGACTGAGCCCTGTTTAATAACTAGGGATTATACTAATTTTTCTAATGTTGGTCAGTTGATTAGTGGTCAGTAACATATAATAGTAAGTAAAAACAATCATACTAATATATACAAATTTTACTATTTTGAACATTTTTATTTTCCAAATGTTAGTCAATATATATTTTATTCCTACTGTTCATTTTTTTCTAATAGTCACAATATTCCATATTTTCATCTTATTCCTTTCTCATCATTTACATGTTTCTTTCATACCTTATTTAATTAGTGCACATTCTTGCTGCAATCTTCCAACTAAATTATTCACATTTTAAGTGCTTACAGATAAATACTAACCTGATTGTAACACAGGCTTTATTTGTTCTGATGTCCTCTTTTGTCTTTAATTTTAATACATTAATTTAATCTTTTCCCAAAATTTAGATCACTATTTTTATGCAATAGATACTGAATTTTCCTAAATAATTTTTAAAATTATCCAATTATAAAATTACATATACATGTGATAATTTCTCAATTAACAAAAGTGATCCCTCAATGTTGTATTTCTTTTGCTTGTTTTTAGTTTTAAAAAATTGCTTGTTTTCATTTTGCTTAAAACTGCATTAGTCAAACAGATTAATTTTTGCTTGAATTTTAATACTCATAACTTTCAAAAGATAATAAATTCTAAATGGTTTTCAATGTTTTCTGTTTCACTAACAGCCTTATGAGGTTATTTTTTCTTAAATACCTGAATTTTTTCAACCCATGATTTAAGCTGAAACTGGTTATTGAAATTTTAAATATTTAACTTTAAACTGAATGATCTTTATCATGAAGCACATTAATGACAAATATTAATAATCACTTCCCACCTGCAAACTACATTGTGAATCCACTAAGTTTATTTCATGATATACCATGATAATTGTAATTTCTTTTGAGATTATAAATATGAAAGAACTTGCAGTAAATATATTCTTTAAGAAGTTCTGTTACAATTTGCATTATCCTATCCTTGGCATCAACCTATAGAAAGTTCAAGTATTATAAATGACTGAAAAAGTACATTATCAATTTTAATAGACATTTAAAAAATATCATGAAAGAACAAAACAACTCTGGTTATTAGTATGTTGAATAGAATTTGTAAAAACCTTTTAACCTCAGTGTCATTTTTCTTGTACTTTATTTTTTCATTTCTGTATAAAGTTAAGCTTTTACCTTCTCTTCAGATATATTCAAATTTGATATTTATAGGGTAACAAAAATTTCTGTGACTTCAGAGAAGAACTGCTATTTTGCAAAATATAAGCAATTAATTCAGACTTTTTGGTTAATTCTGTTAACAACAACAAAAAAAAATAATTAAAGAATGTCTGAATTGCTTTCTTTGTCTATTACAATAACTGTTTAATCCATTAAAACTGAACATATGTTAACTAAAATGGTGTTAACTATACAGAAAATACAGTTGATTGTGAGATGCAATGAAAATTTGCAGGTTACTTATCAGCGATGTTCTACCAAGAGGAAAGCATATCTTAACTGGAAGGGGTTTATAATAATAATAATAATAATAATAATAATAATAGTAAATATGAACCATTGATGGTTTAGTGAGATATCCTTCTCATCACCACTCACCAATGGTTGTTGAATATGTCTAACTTTGTAGCCCTTTCTCAGGTAGTAGTGGTATAGGGCTCCTTCCATCCCCACCCCTCCAGCACTCTCTCAAACAAAACTTGCCGCTTCTCTGGCTGCAACTTTGATACTTTTATGTTCTATCAAAATTGCAGAACTAATAATTCATAAGAAAATAATTATTTTCTTGATTCAAAGAATTTTAAGGCTTCCATCAAACTATGCATTTTTTTCTAATAGAATAAAAAAGAATGAAAAAAATCTAATGAGTAGATAACATAAATTGGTGAGTTAAACATTACAAAATATTTCAAGTATAATTATCCCCCACCCCCAATAACTTGTTTTTCATTGTGTGAATGTGCATTAAATATGCCTTAACAAATTTATTTAAAATCAATTTTTGGTGTGCAATATTGTTGGCATGTTTCATATATGTTCACACTTTAAAATAAAATTATAAAATATTTGTGCTGATGTTATTTGGTAGCTGACCCACAGCGGTCTATTCAATATTTAAATGGAGTCATTCTGCTTTTAGAAATTTTTTTACTAACATTTGTATTTTGTTGTATTAACTTCTTTTTCATACTCATATAAAACTTAGATTATTTCATTTTGAAATAATCTAAATCCCTTTGTCTTAGATTAATATAATCTTGTTTTCATTATTTACTTCTCTTGATAGCTAAAGCTATATCCACCAGGTGGTGTATGCTGAAAATTGTTCTTTTTGAATTATGTTTTCTATTCTGGTTTGTGTAAAGTATTGTTTAGTAACCGTTTTTGTATTGTTTATGGTAGCCAATTCAATGAGCATTTATTCATTATTAAAAATGTGATCATTCCCATAACATGGTGAGGGGATCATATTCCTCTTCATTTTCTGGCATTTCTAGCTGTGCTATTTCTATGATGGAACATTTTTTCTCCCATCTCCTTTCTCTACATCTGCTAATATATGCTTGTGTAGGTTGCAACTCATATGCTACAGTAATCATATTGGACCCAGCTCTATGCCACACCATCACCTGTGGTCCTTGGTCATTTCATTGCACTTCTTTCATTTTTCGTGTGATCATAGTATCCAAAACCCTTGTGTGAGCTCTTTCCACCTGTAAAACCAAGGATCAATAGTTCCCCCAAGGACATTTTAGCTGTGCTTACCTCCCTTTACCTCGCTCACCTGCTGTTAAACTCATTCTGAACTCAACCTGTTCTGTTTAGCACCTAACCTGTTCCGAAACTTCTTCATTTACCTTTTATTCCTACCTAAACAGGATTCTGATATTACAAAATTATTTGTCCAAAGCCCAGATTTTTTAAATTTATATTTTCATATCAGAAGTTCTCATCTGAAAAATTAAACAGTAACATTTATCAGTTAGATGGGAATTCCTGAAATAATAACAAAAAATAGACTTACATTGTTCTTGGACATTCTACAAAAATGACTAAACATTAGCATAAAAAAGTAAACAAGTTTGATGTAAAAGTTCCTAGTGCTTCTCTAGTAGTTTATGTAGGATTTTAAATTGCTAAGATATTTCACATAAATATGACAATTCTTTTACCAAAACTTATTAGTCATGTTATCTAGACTGAGCATACATTCTACAAGTTTAATTAAAGGCTGTTATTTTTAGATAACTAAAATGTTTTTTAATAAAGTAAAATGAAAGCTATTTATTATAGCTGAAGCACTTATATTTGAGATATTAAAGATATCAAAAGGCTTTCTAGA